CGTCGACTGTAGGAATCAACAATTAGTTGACAATGTCACTACTCTCTCGGTCAACGGAAGACATCGCTTCGGTGAAGTCAGTCACCGGAGAAACCGAATTTCACCAAATACTGCGTGAATTCCCCGAGATAACTCGCCCTCCAGGTATGCACTTACCATGCAAACATAACTTTCTGCACCACATCAGGATGACTCCAGGACCTCCAGTAGCCAGTAAGCCTCGACGCCTGGATCCACTTCGCATGCAAGCTGCGAAGCAGGAGTTCTCAGACCTGCTCGCCAGCGGCATAGCCAGACCATCGGAAAGCGCTTGGTCTTCTCCGCTGCACATGGTAAGAAAAAAAGATGATAGTTGGAGACCATGTGGAGACTACAGAGCACTGAACAATAGAACTATACCTGATCGATATCCCATCCGTCATATCCACGACTTCTCACATCAACTTACAGGCTGTTCTATCTTTTCTACCATTGACTTAGTCAAGGCGTACAATCAGATTGCTGTCAATCCAGATATCATGAAAACGGCAATCACGACTTCATTTGGATTGAACGAATTCCCGTTCATGAACTTTGGCTTAAGAAACTCAGCACAAACCTTTGTAGCGGCGCTGTCGTCGCGCCACTAGCACACCGAAACACACCGAAGCCTAAATCACGCTATCAACATTCCGAATCATGAACAGTATATATAGAACATCTCCGAACTATCACACGGAGTGTGAGCCGCTCCCCGGGCAGAACACCTTGCCCGGCGGGAGATCTCCCCTTTTCCTTCTACGGCCACAGTGGTGACCCCGACGTGATCTGAACACGCAACCAACAACCTTCGGAAACTTCAAGCTTCATCATCGTCATTGAATACCCCACCCATTCGCTCCCGAGCAGATATCGTCTGCAGTCTTCATATCCTGCAAGCCATCTAGCTTCACAAGGTTCATCGCAGCACTGGAATAAAAATGCTTCCTGTTCCTTCAAGCTACTCTCTGCGCTATACAGTGTTCGGCACGGCTCTGAGCCTTACTGCTCGCCTCTGCTTCACGGCACTCTCGCAGATTACTTGCCTTCTTCTCGACTCACCGCAGACTACAAGGCAATCCACTGGCATTTGCACATTCGTCGGCAACGAGGCGGCACTATCGACCTCCGGTCTGAGCAGGGTGATGTAGCGGCGCTGTCGTCGCGCCACTAGCACACCGAAACACACCGAAGCCTAAATCACACTATAAACATTCCGAATCATAAACAGTATATATAGAACATCTCCGAATTATCACACGGAGTGTGAGCCGCTCCCCGGGCAGAACACCTTGCCCGGCGGGAGATCTCCCCTTTTCCTTCTACGGCCACACCTTCCAGAAGTTCATTGACGAGGTGTTGCAAGGACTCGATTTCTGCTACGGATACATAGATGATCTTAGTATTTTCGTCATCAATTCAAGAGCACCAGAACAATCTGCGGCAACTCTTCGAACGCCTAAAGCAGTACGATGTATTGGGAAACACTGCCAAGTGTACACTTGGCCAACCAAAGTCACGTTCCTGGGATACCACGTGTCAACTGCAGGTACTAAACCACTTGATTCCAAAGTCGAAACCATCAGGCAACCACGTTCCAAAAACCGTCAAAGAACTAAGACGTTTCTTAGGCATGCTAAACTTTTACCGTCGCTTTATTCCCAACGCAGCCCAACTTCAAGCACCGCTGAATGACGTTTTCAGTGGCTCAAAAATCAAAGGGTCTCATCCGATAGACATGACTCCGCAATTACTTCGAGCATTCGAAGACTGTAAGGAATCACTATCTCAAGCAACTCTTCTTGCTCATCCCGACCCAGCTGCAGAACTAGCAATAGTGACAGACGCATCTGAAACTGCCATAGGCGCCGTCCTTCAACAACGGAAAGGTAAGGATTGGCAACCACTTGCTTTCTATTCTCATAAGCTCAGCAACGCACAGAGGAAGTACAGCCCCTACGACAGAGAGCTGTTGGCTGTTTACGAAGCCATTAAGTACTTCCGTCACATGGTTGAGGCCAGAATATTTACAATATTCACCGTACAATTTTAAACAATCATTACCGCCGTCCTTCAACAACGGAAAGGTAAGGATTGGCAACCACTTGCTTTCTATTCTCATAAGCTCAGCAACGCACAGAGGAAGTACAGCCCCTACGACAGAGAGCTGTTGGCTGTTTACGAAGCCATCAAGTACTTCCGTCACATGATTGAGGCCAGAATATTTACAATATTCACCGTACAATTTTAAACATTCATTATAGCCTATCAAACGTCAACTTAAGCCGCTCTCATGAATTATAGCTTGCCACACATGGCAACAGGTTGGCAACCATATTATTTTTATTTAGAGCTTTTATCACAAAATGCTGCTGCCCATCTCTCATTTCACTCACTTCCACTTACAATTAATTGTGGCACTTATTGTACTTGGCTAGTTATTTCATAAATATAATTGAGGGTTGGATTTAGAATCGTTTGGCAGAAATTTGGGGGGAGTAAGGTGTTTTATTTGGTAGAGGTTTGGTCCCCGATTATAATAATACCACTCACATTAAAAGGTAATGCACCATTATCGAGAAAATAAATAAAAACTATTATAACCTAAAATGTGTAAAGTATGGAAAATGATAAATTTTTTATTATTAACTGACTTTACGGCTCTGGGTTCTATCCCTTCTGAGAAACAATTATATGATATTACTGTAAAAGCTGGACGGCATTTCTACACAGTTGGTTATGCAGATGATCTGACAATACTGGTAAGACAGCAAGCATTGTGTGCGACCTGACCCAAGCGGCTCTCCGTATTGTGGAGAGATGGTGCAGGGAATATGACCTAACCATTAATCCAAATAAAACGGTTATAGTAATGTTCACACAAAAACAAATGCTGAATAACTATCATCTTCCAAGTCTTTTCAGCACAAAACTCCAACTATCTTCCGAGGTAAAATACCTAGGTCTTACCTTGGACAGTAAACTTAACTGGAACAAACACTTAGAAAATTTTCTGGCAATGCAGAAACATAATTGGCAAATGATGGGGTTTAATGCCAAAAATTATACTGTGGCTGTACAAAACTGTAATTTGGCCCATGATCACATACGGCTCTCTGGTATGGTGGACCAAAACCAATGAAGCCACCACTATACAAAAGCTTCAGCATTACCAGAGATTAGCTTGTATGGCTGCCACGAGCTGCATAAGGACTACACCAACAGCAGCTTTGGAGGCTCTGCTGGAGCTAACACCGCTTCATCTACATATACAACAAGAAGCAAATTTAGCTGCCATTAGACTCAAGACCCTAAATCTTTTAAGTAAGAGTAGAGTCCCCCATACAGATATAATAGATAGAATTTACTCAAAAATTCTTATCTTACAAGCCAAGTATGATAGGATCTCAAAACAATTTATATTCGATAAGAAGTACAGGATACAATTGAAGGAAACTGACCATCTGGAAGGATTGGGTCCAAGAGAGCTCAAAGTTTTCACAGATGGCTCTAAGACAAATGAAGGTGTGGGGTCTGGGGCTTTCTCTGAAGACCTTAATATCCACATATGTACACCGCTGGGTACCCACAACACAGTCTTCCAGGCTGAATGCATGGGTATCATCCAAGCATGGCCGTATCAATAGATGCTAGGAAGGTGAAAGACATCTCCATCAGAATAATGACCGACAGTATGGCGGTACTACAAACTCTGAGTTGCAATGTGACGAACTCGGGACTGATATACGAGTGCCATCAACGTTGAATGAGGTATGTAAGCACAACAATGTGACTCTGCAATGAATCAAGGGAGACAGTGGATCTAGAGGCAACGATGCAGCAGATGAACTGGCCAGAAGGGGATCGGCCCTACCAATAATACCAGTCCCCTTTGGCTATGTTGGTTCACTGGTACGTAGATACTTCAATAATTTACACACTCAGCTTTGGAAAAATTTAGTAGACTGTAGATAAGCTAGGGAGGCCCTACCTGAAATAAACAGTCGTCTAACCAAGGTTCATAGTAACAAGTGCTATCACAGGACATGGCTCTTTTAACAAACATTAGTTCACCATAGGTGTTACTGACAGCCCCCTGTGCAGGGCATGCATGGGAGAGGAAGAAATGGCGGCTCACGTGTTGCTAACATGTCCATAAGTCGCTTCATACAGGCCTAAACATCTCGGCACGCCGGGATCGCTCTCCGAAGTTGCTTGCAACATCAAGGGACTGCTGAGCTTCTTCGGGGAGATATCATGGCTCGTATAAGCATATTATTCCTGCCCACACGCAAAATACGCGCTTAGACGTGGAGTTGCGGAAAACAGCCCGTCGTAAACTAACTAAAGCTGGACGGCATACAGACTTTTGTGGCTGTGCCGGGAGCAAAGGCAACCTGACTATAGATATCTGATCTGATCGAATCTGTACTAAAACTAAATCAGCATGCCCCGAATCCACATAGTCTTGTCTGCCCTACTCTTAAAGTGTTTTTGTAAAGCCATAGGCAGCCCGTCGTAGCAAATCGTAGGCACCTGTGCGCGCCATAGTGTCCTTAATATTGTATTATATATTATGTTTATAATTTAAAGTAATTATAAAAGCTAACAGGTTCCTTGTGTGGGTGTGTCGCATATTGGTGTTTTGTTGAGTGCAAGAGCGAATGAAGCAAGCTCACCACTTAGGACACCCCAATTCGGACAGGTTAGGTTAGAAGGGGATTGCAGGGTCGAGTGAGCGCAACTCTACAACTCCCCCCGCCTCCCTCTCCACCACCTCCCACCCCCTTATTTCATTTTGAGTTATCATTTGAGGTTAGTTCTATGGGATTTTCTTTTTGATTTTTCTCAAGAACGGTGCATTACCATTTAATGTGAGTGGTATTATTATAATCAAGGACCAAACCTCTACAAAATAAAACACCTTACTTCCCCAAATTCCTGCCAAATGATTCCAAATTTCAACCATAATTGATGTTGATATGGATGTGTGGTGTGGTTATGAGCTTATTGCAGGTGACTCAAGGCAGTGCCTTGAGGCAATCTATGGGGTAGACTTAAACCATTTTAGCTGGAAGCTGGTCATAGCTGATTATACACTATGTCAAAAAAAAATTAATTTCAATTTTAAATAAGGAATACGGGAGAAAAATGAGCACACCGTCCACCTGATGGTAAGTGGATGCATAGACATCTACAAATCTGAAACACAACAAAGATGAAATGCCTAGCTTGAGTTGTAGTGCTGAAGGCTAATCTAGCATTGCACATGTGTGGCCTACATATAATTTTTTTGTGTGTGGATGATTGTCCTTGTGCAATTTATGTATGGAAACTGCCTCGACAATATGGGAGAAAATCCTAGTGTGGTGGTAACATTTTTAAACGAGAAAAGAAAAGAAATAGAACTCGAATATTTATAGTAAATTAATATTGATTTAATATTTATCAGGTTATGGACTTGGTGCAGCTGTTGGTTTATTCACATCCTCCCTTATGCCAAATGTAACAGATCCAACGGCACAGCAAACTCAAATGGCAAGGGAAATATTGAGAGAGATGAAGGGTGCCATGTTAAGCTATGCCAAAAATTTTGCCATTCTTGGAGCTGTATTTTCTGGTGTAGAATGCTGTATCGAAAGTGCTAGAGGAAAATCAGATTGGAAGAATGGGACATATGCAGGTGGTTACTGGAGGACTTATTGGATTAAGAGGTAGTAAACTTTTGTTTTCAAATATCTTAATAAGTTTTCTGTAAATTAAAAGTAATAATTTTCTGTGATATATAACCAACCGAATATTTACTTTTTTTAAGTTTTATAAGGGAAAAGAAAGGATAATTTCCCTTTCTTTTCCCTTATGAAAATTAGTTATGAAAACCAGTTACCGTCTAGAAATAATCCTCTTTAGGCTCTTATTTAATCCTTTCCTTGTTGTAAGATTAAAGAATGATTAAAATAATTTGTAGTATATTTTAGGAAGCCCGGATGTCGTGTGATGATGATGTGAAAAATCCATTACCCCATTTCGTCCTGTGAGAGCTTGTGAGAGCTGATTACAGTAAATGCCAGCAAAATCTTAGAGATTACTAGAAATAGCAGTATTATTATTTAATTTAGATAAAAACATAAAAACACTCACGCCTGTCACCCATAGGGGTAGGCAGAGACTACAGACTTACATTTGGCACGATCCTGACACATTCATTTAGATTCGATATATAATATATATTATATATCAAGATGAAGAATTGCAGCAAAGGTACGAGACATTGGTACTGTGATAGTCAATTTGCTAATCAAACGTGATGATTAAGGCAAATTTTCTCTATAAAGCAGTGGACTTTTACCTGCTGATAAATATGTGCAAAAGACATTTCAGGTAGACCATTTTTTTGTGTGAGCAGCTATGCAGGTCTAGGGAAGGAGACCAGTATCACTGCGACCTAAAAGATCTAAGGTAGACCATGACGCTGCAGTTAAATATATGTGCCATTATATTACTTTTATTTCTAGAATTAAGTACATAAGTTATTTATTTCATAGTCATGCTGTTATCACCATGTTGTATGAATGCGGATGCACTAATCATACATTTGTTTTTAAAAGTAAAAACTAAAGTGACGAATGAATTTAAAGTCCACCTAGTGGTAAGTGGTTACTGCAGTCCAGGGACACCTGCAGCCATCTTCAAACAAAGAAAGCTACAGACGCATTGTCTCCTTTGAGGACAATATTGTCCCCTTCAGGCCAGATCACAGCATTTCTTTACTTTATAGCTTCTCTTAATAAAATTCTGCCAAATCACAATAAAATATACACTAATTTATTTCATCAAAACTATTAGCTTTAAATAAATATTATGTCAATTTTCAGGTGGACTCAAAGCTGGATTGTTTGGAGCTGCCGGTTTTGCTGCCTTCTCTACTGTAATAGACTACTATATGCATCAACGGGGATCTTAAGTGAAAATAGTTTTCTTATTCATATTGTTACAAATATTATGTATTGTTAAATAGTAAATCAAACACTGCATTATTTGGTTTTATTAAATTAATTGTGTATCTGGCAGTATGGTAGTCGCAGCTAAATAAAATTATGTGGAGTGATACTAGACTTAGCTTTTCCTGAAGTCCTACAACATATTTTATAAACCCGAAATTTCGGCCTGGATACCAAAGATTCAAAAAGTTAGATGCGCCCTTACCATAGTATGATCACTCCGAAATGTGTTTATTCTCAAATGAGTGAGCTGACTCATTTCAAATTAGTGCTCATTTGTGTTCAGTGACAGCCAGATGTTGCACATTGGAACTAACGCACTGATTTCACCAAAAAAAAAAAAAACTCTGTGTGCCTTTTGATAGTGCAATAATAATTCTAGAAACACAAATATAGCCCAAGTTGTATTATTTCACTCATAAATATCTATATCTTATTAAATATTGAATTTATTTTATAACGATGTCAGAAAATACCACGAAATAAATACGGGCAAACGAAAACTGTGCCACAGAGAAAGAAGTATACACAATTTCCGTAAAATAATAAGAGATGACAGTATTGTCTCAGTACTCTTCTATTAACCAATTTAGTTAGATACTCAGATGTACTATGGAAGCGGTTTACAAAGGGATCATCTAAAAATAGACAGATAAAGATATCAGATCAGATAAAAATAGTTAAGTTGGAGAGGTCTCGTCTAGTGAAGTCAACACTCCGTCCCCCTCGTGCGCTAATCCAGGGTCCCGAAAACTTTCAGCTCGAATTACAAAACCGTTTTCAGTGCCTAGAAGACTGCAATACAGTGGACGATATGAATGACAAGCTCGTGGAAACTGTCCATGCGATCGGAGCTAAGTTCTGCAAGACCCGCCGCAGAAGAACACAAAAACTCTCCGACCACACTCTTAATCTCATGGATGTTAGACGGGCGATGAAGCTGCAGTCGTCAGCAGATTTGACAGCATACAGGCAGAGAGAACAGACAGATCTCCAAATGCATGCGGCAGGACTTACGCAACTTCAATACAGCTCGTATTGAAGAAGCGATTGAGCGGAAACAGAGCTCTAAAGTCTTTGCCAGAGATCTGTCTGCCAGTAAGAACCAACTGTCAAAGCTGAAGACTGAGTGTGGCAGCATCGTTTCCGGGACACCTGAGTTTCTGAGTGAGATTAATAGGTTCTATGGGCAGCTGTACACATCATCGTTGGAGCCACACGCTAGTGTGAATAACGATCCAAGAGCAAGTCTTATCCGACACTATTCCGATGATATCAGAGTACGAAACCTATCCAACTGCAGAGAGGTGTAAGACAGGGTGACGTTATTTCCCCGACACTCTTCACCGCTGCATTGGAAGACGTTTTCAAGCTACTGGACTGGAAAGGATACGGTATTAACATCAATGGCGAGTACATCACTCACCTTCGATTTGCCGACGATATAGTCCTTATGGCAGAATCGCTAGAGGAATTAAGCACTATGCTCAATGACCTCAATGGTGTCTCCCAACGGATAGGTCTTAAGATTAACATGGACAAAACAAAGATCATGTTTAATGTCTATGTCACACCTATGCCTGTAGTTGTTGGGAGCACTAAGCTCAAAGTTGTTGACAAGTACGTTTACCTGGGACAAATAGTCCGATTAAGTAAGTCCAACTTCAACCGAGAGGTCAATCGACGGATTGAACTCGGCTGGGCAGCGTTAGGGAAATTACGACACATTTTCTTGTCAGGTATACCTCGAAACTTGAAAACTAAGTTGTACAACCAGTGCGTGTTGCCAGTGATGACCTACGGAAGCGAGACGTGGTCCTTCACTGCTGGCCGTATTAGGACGCTCAAAGTCGCTCAGCGAGCTATGAAGAGGGCTATGCTCGGGGTTTCTTTGCGTGATAAACTTAGAAATGAGGATATCCGCAGTAGAACCAGAATGACCGACATAGCCCAACGGATTAGTAAGCTGAAGTGGCAATGGGCCGGCCATATAGCTCGAAGAACCGACAACCGTTGGGGTAAAAAGGTTCTCGAGTGGCAGCCTCGTACCGGTAGGTGAAGTGTAGGGCGACCCCCCACTACATGGAGTGACGACCTGGTAAGACATGCAGGAAGTCGATGGATGCAGGTGGCTCAGGACCGTGCTATGTGACATACCTTAGGGGAGGCCTATGTTCAGCAGTGGTCTTGTGAAGGGCCTGTAATGATGATGATGATGATGATTAAAGCTTAGAGGATTAATATAATGAAAAGCCAAACAGCTACATAATACCATAATGCAAAAGGGAGATAAATTAATTAGCACATCAGCAAAAGTTTGGTCCGAGAATACCAAAACGAGAGACTCGCTAGTGTTTTTTATCACACTGCGCTGCCAAGTAATATCAAATTTTCCGCCTCCACTAGATATTTTTAGCACTTAGATATTTACAAAAAACCGCTATTACACCCTAGAATTGCACCAGTGCCCTATTTATCAAAACTCACAAGTGTACTTGTTTACAAGTTACACTTTACAAGAAAGCTTTTACAAGTTCGTGTAAATTACGTTTATCAAAAAAAATCTACAGGGCTTGTAAAATTTAACACTTGAGGGTTCTACTTGTAAGTTCTAAAATCAATGTACTCTTATATTCTTCTCCATTCTTTTCCGGTTCTTTGAGATACATGGCCGGCTTATTACCCCTTCGGCTTATTGGTCCAGTGGATATAAACTTTTTACTCTGGTTCCTCAATTATTTAAAAATATGACAAATAACTCCACAATAAATAACTTAAACATGGAAACTTTTTGTTCAGAACTCCAATAGCATTTTCAATAACTCGCCGAGTCGATTTATGAGCATTAAGAAATTTGATATTTGCTTCATCGTTGCCATCTATTACTATAGGAGTAATGAGCCATTCATTCAGAGGGTACGCAGAGTCTCCAAGGAGAACCCCTTGTGCAATAGGTCTCCAGTCATTTTCAAATTGCTCATATAACTGACTGTTTCTTAAAACTACTGTCATGGGTCCTTCTGGGCCAATTAGCATAGGAATAATAAAACTTTTTGTCAAAACCGCACACAACGAAACAGTTAATAAAATGATTTCCGTGTTGATCTACGAATACTTTTTCATGTTGATGTGGGGCATCAATTTTTATCAAGGTACCATATAGACGGCCAAAAATTAATGGCATTCCTTGCAACATACGAAAATTCTGTACTACCTCCTGCATATTATTCGGCCATTTAACATAGTTTTCAAACATTACGGTATTGATGCTTGTACAACTTAGTTTTCAAGTTTTGAGGTATACCTGACGAGAAGATGTGTCGTAATTTCCCTAACGCTGCCCAGCCGAGTTCAATCCGTCGATTGACCTCTCGGTTGAAGTTGGACTTACCTAATCGGACTATTTGTCCCAGGTAAACGTACTTGTCAATAACTTTGAGCTTAGTGCTCCCAACAACTACAGGCATAGGTGTGACATAGACATTAAACATGATCTTTGTTTTGTCCATGTTAATCTTAAGACCTATCCGTTGGGAGACACCATTGAGGTCATTGAGCATAGTGCTTAATTCCTCTAGCGATTCTGCCATAAGGACTATATCGTCGGCAAATCGAAGGTGAGTGATGTACTCGCCATTGATGTTAATACCGTATGCTTTCCAGTCCAGTAGCTTGAAAACGTCTTCCAATGTAGCGGTGAAGAGTGTCGGGGAAATAACGTCACCCTGTCTTACACCTCTCTGCAGTTGGATAGGTTTCATACTCTGATATCATCGGAATAGTGTCGGATAAGACTTGCTCTTGTATCGTTATTCACACTAGCGTGTGGCTCCAACGTTGATGTGTACAGCTGCCCATAGAACCTATTAATCTCACTCAGAAACTCAGGTGTCCCGGAAACGATGCTGCCACACTCAGTCTTCAGCTTTGACAGTTGGTTCTTACTGGCATACAGATCTCTGGCAAAGACTTTAGAGCTCTGTTTCCGCTCAATCGCTTCTTCAATACGAGCTGTATTGAAGTTGCGTAAGTCCTGCAACATGCATTTGGAGATCTGTCTGTTCTCTCTGCCTGTATGCTGTCAAATCTGCTGACGACTGCAGCTTCATCGCCCGTCTAACATCCATGAGATTAAGAGTGTGGTCGGAGAGTTTTTGTGTTCTTCTGCGGCGGGTCTTGCAGAACTTAGCTCCGATCGCATGGACAGTTTCCACGAGCTTGTCATTCATATCGTCCACTGTATTGCAGTCTTCTAGGCACTGAAAACGGTTTGTAATTCGAGCTGAAAGTTTGCGGGACCCTGGATTAGCGCACGAGGGGGACGGAGTGTTGACTTCACTAGACGAGACCTTTCCAACTTAACTATTTTTATCTGATCTGATATTTTTATCTGTCTATTTTTAGATGATCCCTTTGTAAACCGCTTCCATAGTACATCTGAGTATCTAACTAAATTGGATAATAGAAGAGTACTGAGACAATAGTGTCATCTCTTATTATCTTACGGAAATTGTGTATACTTCTTTCTCTGTGGCACAGTTTTCGTTTGCCCGTATTTATTACGTGGTATTTTCTGACATCGTTATAAAATAAATTCAATATTTAATAAGATATAGATATTTATGAGTGAAATATCACAACTTGGGCTATATTTGTGTTTCTAGAATTATTATTGCACTATCAAAAGGCACACGATAGCATTTGGAGTTTTTTTTTTTTGGTGAAATCAGTGCGTTAGTTCCAATGTGCAACATCTGGCTGTCACTGAACACAAATGAGCACTGATTGCAAATGAGTCAGCTCACTCATTTGAGAGTAAACACATTTCGGAGTGATCATACTATGGTAAGGGCGCATCTAACTTTTTGAATCTTTGGTATCCAGGCCGAAATTTCGGGTTTATAAAATATGTTGTAGGACTTCAGGAAAAGCTAACTGAAGCTAAGCTAAGTAAGTAATCACT